TAGGAAACCCAGATGGTGTCACCGAGAATTGCTTGGTGTGGGGAAACCCCACACATCTGGTGTCAGAAGTGGTGTCTGTGAGAGTAAAGGAAGAAACAGTGAGTCTTCCCTACACAAGTTGGCAACATGAGTAGAGATGTGAGGCAAGGAGTCAGGGTTACCAGGTTGAGAGCTTTCAGGGGAATGATACCTCACTGTTCTCTCCCACTTACTGAGGCCTTTCCTTCCCCATCTGTCTTCGGATGGGAACCTGGACTGATCATGCAAGTGGGTGCGTTTGCCATGCTGGGCATTTAGAACTGCAGATACCAAACATTTGAAACAGGACTTGCAGACACTGCAAATATTACGACCTGTGTGATCGTGAGCAAGTCGCTAACCCTCTCTAGATCTCAGTGTCCTTCTATGTATAGGATTGAGAAGGTTAAATGAGTTAACGCCTGCAGAGCATCTCCTATGCTATGTGCCAAGCACTCTGATGGGGCTTTACAAGCATGTTGATGATGCTGACATCTGGTGATGACCCTCTGCTGGAGTTGAGGCTGAAGTCATATTGTCTAAACTGACATTCACAAGAAACTGTATCTTGATTCAAGACGGCAAATCCATTTTCCCCAAACCAACTGACCTTGTACGATACCATCAACCTTGATCATTTAGGGCACCGACAATTGCCTTGGATTTAATATATGGCACTCACCTGGAGACTCTTATGGGGTTTACTTTAGTCTCTTTACCATTTTGTAAATGAAAATAACTTAATATGAGGAGGACTTTATATATTACATAGTTTTTTTTTTAAATAGACTCCATAGTGATTCCACACAGATTCTATTGTATCTGAAATGGGGTGGGAGGTAGATGTATGAATGTGGGTGGATTTAAGATAAAAATTGACCCAAGTCCACTCTGCTGAGAAGACTGTGATACATGGTCTCTGTATTGTCTGATCAGAAACCTCCAAAGCTCTCAAGCCTTGTTCCTTTTATGATTGCTTAGTATAAAATGAATTATTCAAAGACCAGTGGTGAAGATTGGTTTAAACTCTGCAGTCAGAGCCCTGAGACTGCAAGGTCATGTCAGAGCATCCATCAGGCCTCCCCGGGGCCAGAGGTCCATCCCTTGGCCCTGACAGTTGGGCAGAGAGAACACTGGCTCCAGAATGCTGAGCACTGCTGTTCAAGGGCAGGCTCTTGCTGCAACCCAATGAATACCAGCTCATCAGGGAAAGGGCTCAGGAGCAGAGACTGGGCATGAGCCCACAGACTAGACGTCTAGCCCACGGCACAGCCTTGTCTAGGAGGCAGGGCCTGCACAGGCTGGGAGGGAGCAAGGAGGATGCCTCGGCCTTCAGCATCCTCAGTTGCCCATCCAGCACCATTTCCCCTTCCTTTCCTGCATTTTGCTTGGAAAGCTACTACTCCCCAACTAGACTCAGGAGAAGGGACTTTATCCCCAGTTCCAAGGGTAAATCCTAGCAGATCTAAGCCAGTAGTTCTCAACCCTGGTTTCACATTAGAACCACCTTGGGAGCTTTAACAAAATTCAGATGTCTGGAACCCAGTCCCTAGAGCCTAGAGCATGGCACAGGCTTGACTCACCTGGAAGCTGGTTTAGAGAAACAGACTCACTTGCTGATCCGAGGCTGAGGCTGAGCCTTCCACACCAATTTTTGGTGAGCTTTTCCAGGCAACTGTCAAATCCCTCCCCTCACCTGACTCCACCTGGAAACTTTCATCCCCTAAAATACACAGTCACATCTTGGGTACCTTGCAGCCAGAAAGCTTCTCTCTGCCTTTCCTCTAGCATGAAATGTTGCGTCTTGACCTTGAACCTGCTCTTGAACCTCTGGAACTGGCTGAACTAGGGCCTCACTCCCCATGATGCAGTCCAGGAGGGCAGACACTGAATACAGAAGCTCCCCCTCCTCTCTTCCCCTGTGGCCAAGAGGAAGGAACAGGGCAGCCAAGTTCCGCCTTCGGTCCCTTGCCCCTCTCTCTCTCCTACTCTCAAGGCCTGCCATTTGCACTCCACTATATACAATCTTGTTCTTCCTTGGGGTCCCCAAGTATCTGCTCTCTTATCTAAATTCCACATTCTTTGGGGTGTCGTCTGAGTGCCCCTGGCAGGAGGCAGAGGCTGTGGGTCCATCAGTTGAGCTTGGTTGGGTTTTGCCTGTAAGACCTGCAGCCTTCAGAATTGGGGACAGAGGCTGGAGATGATTTTACCTAACTCCCTCATCATATGAATGAAAAAACTGAGGTCCCGAGGGCCGTCAGGGCTCTGAACAGTGGGGTCCACAGGTGCCCTCGAACCAGCGAGGTGGAGGGCCTCCTGTATGCAAATAGCCAAGGGCATGGCCACCCAGGCAGAAAATCCTAGCTTCAGAGCAGACAGGGAGATCAGGCTTTACTTACACGAGAAAGAGTGTGACCTGTCCAGGGTCACAGAGCAGAGCTCTAGGATCCCGGCGCAGGGGTATGTGGGATCCAGAGAACTTAACTCTGCCAAAAGGGCCCCCGACTGCTCACCCTCAACTCCGTGTGCAGCCCTGATAACAGACCATCCCTTTGAAAGCCATCTGGTGGTAGCAGCGGGGCATCATTGACTCACTCCTGGGGCAAGACGGAGGCTGGTGAGTTCCCAGTGGGAGGGAGCCAATATCCCGACAACTGGTGACCCCAGTGATTTTATTCCACAATTCATCACACTGCAGTGTATTAGTTTCCTCTCCCATCTTTTGAGAGTGAAAAAATAAGACTCATCAATGTATTTTTTAAGTGCTTAAGGAAACAAAAGATCAGAAAGTGTATTGGGGAAGGGGCCCTAATTTATGATTTCTGAGTTAAGTTTGTACACTTTAATATCTGATAAAAATCTCTCGATTGTGGAGAGGCTGCAAATAGGCCCCAGTTCTGAGATTAATTTATAGATAGAAAGAAAACTGTAATGGTTGCACAATTATTGACACATTCACCCCTCCCCCATGAGGGAAGACAATGACCCAGAACCTGTCCCAAAGATAAGTGTAAATTGTATGTACCAGCTGCTTGATTTAGCAGCTCAGCATCCAGGGCACTAAAGGCCCTAATGATGTCACAGTCAACAATCAGCTTGTGTTCAGGAGTGGATTCTATTTTTTCCATGTGCACAAAAACAAGCCTGGCACAGTGACAGAAAAAGTGCTTTAGGGAGAGCAAAGGGCATCTGAGGAGCTAATTACATTGACAAGAACTGGAGTAGAGCACTTCTAAATCATTGTCCAGTTTGGAAATGCTACCTAATGATCTGTAAGTTCACTAACCAACTCCTCTGTGCCGGGGGAACGTGGTTTCTGGGTTATTCTGTAAACAGTAACCAGAGAGTACGACGGTCATTGCAGGTGCCAATGGAATGGAAAGTTGGGGCTTTACAGTAGCTATCAGTTTATGGGCAAGGGTTGAAAAATCACATGTGAGGGCAATCTGGAGCTTTCTACATGAGGCTGAATCATTAGAGTTGGGGGTGGGTGTGTGTGGGGGAAATAATTTAGGCCAAGCCCCTCAGAGCAGAAGGGGGTTGCCCAAGGATCCACAATGAGATAGTGGCTGAACTGTGACCAGAGTCAGCTTCTCTTATCTTTCCCCTCTACTATGCAGTGAAACAAATGGAATAATCCAGCTAAGAAGCAACCTGCCTGCTATGGGCTGCATTGTGTCCCCCCCAAATTCATACGCTGACGCCTTCACCTCCAGTACCTCAGACTGTGACTGTAGTTGGAGACAGGGCCCTTAAACAGGTGATTAAGTTAAAATGAGGCTGTTAGAGTGGGCTCTCATCTAACCTGACTGGTGTCCTTGTGAGAGAGAATTTGGACTCCAGGGGCACGCATGTGCACAGAGAAAAGACCATGTGAGGACACATCGAGAAGATAGCCATCTGCAAGCCAAGGAGAGGCCTCAGAAGAAAGCAAATCTGCCCACACTTTGACCTGGGACGTTCAGCCTCCAGAACTGGGAGAAAATAAATGTTGGTTGGTTAAGCCACCCAGTCTGAGGCATGTTGTTATGGCGGCCCGAGCAAATGAATACACTGCCCTTCCGAAGGCTGCACGTGCCACATATATGGTTTTCAGTATTACTGTCCGGAGCTCACTGTGGTTTTATGCACCCATAACCTAGTGATATCTTAAAGAGAGCAGGAGAAAGAGAAAAATTGGTGTGGCAAAAACACACAGCAGAGAGCCCAGCATTGTTTTGCTACTCAAAATCTCAAAACTGAAATTGCACAAGCTGAGAAGACGCCTGGAGAACTGAAGGGGTCACGTCCCTCAGTGACCTTTCCACCGTCCCCTCTTCACTTCACGGAAGGTGCTTCACACCTCCCAGCTCAGGTCTCCTTCAGGGAAAATGGGCCTCATGCTGCCTCATCTTCTGGAGGCCTCTATTTGCCTACATATGTCCCATACCTAGGAGCAGATGCTGCCCTATATTAGAATTAAATTGGCACCCCCCAAATGTTCATGGGCATCCTCAGGAGAGCAGCTGGATCATTCCAAATCTGGCTTGTTTAGACTCAAAATGCACCAGGTGTTGGCAAATCCAGCTCCAAATCCCAGGCAGCCTCTTTGAAAGTTGCCTTCTACTTAGGTGGTATAGACATCTGTCTACACGATTAGAGTTTTAGAGCCTTGGACCAGAAATATTGCTCATGTGAGCAGGGACAGTATCCCCAGGGCCTGAAATAGTGCCTGGTAATATCAACTCGGACCAGCCAAATTCTGAAATTCTCGTCGTCAGAGTCACTTCTTTGGGTTAAGGCATTAAAAACCCCTGTTAAATATGTTACCAAGGGCCATACATATTAAGACACCACCAGCCATTAACACCTCTTTGTGACATCATCAGAGTGGCTTCAGACCTACCCTTAGCCCCTTAGGGACCAAGGCAGGGCCATCTGAGTTCTGGTGAGAGGACAGGGGGAAAGAGTCACAGCCTGTGGGTGGAGGGGGAGGTGGAGAGCATGGACAGGCATATTGTACAGAGGGATGTGGGTGACAAAAAAAGATAAAGGATTTCACAAGGAATGCTGCCTGGACGATTCTGAACCAGCCAGACCTCCGTATTGGAGTCACCTTTTGGCCCGTTGGCCCAGATCATGAATGCGAGGGCCAGGACAGTTGACCAGCACACAAGTCCAGCTGGGTCTGTGTAAGGAATTTGGCATCTCAGAGCTGGCCTTGGCCTGGGGCCATGAGGTTGGGTGTGCAGGGACAAACAGGAGCTGGAACACCTCTCCCAGGAAAGGGGAGAGCTGCCGGAGAGACTGGCACTCAAGAAGTGGGGCTACGCCCAGGCTCTTAGCCAATCAGCTTTTCCGTGGGCTCCCACCCACCCTGGGGCAGTTAGAGCTAAGCTGGGGAAGCATGGAGGGGACATGGGTCAAGTGACAACAGCAAAGCATGGGGGCATCCTGGGCCTGTTCACCAAGGGCCTGGGGCTCACAGGCCAGCAGGGGAGCACGGGAAGGGCTGTCCACTGTCCAGAGTCCGGGGAGGGAGGCGGCGAGGCTCAGCAGGGGGAAGACGACATCTGGTCATAGTCGGGGCACTTGAGCAAGGCTGGGTAGTTGCTGTTCATCTGCAGGGAGGCGTCACTGGAGATGTCGGAGGGGCTGCGGCCCCGGACCCAGGCGTCCGGGTGCAGGAACTGGCCTGAGTAATCGGAGCAGTTGCTCAGCCGTGGGCGGTAGAAGCCGGGGTGAGGCCTGTACATGTCCTCGGCTGTGTACCTCTTCATGAACAGGTACACGGACATCACCCCAGCACTCTACAGTGAGGAGAAAGCAGAGGAGAGCTCACTGCTGGGGGCCTGGCCTTGCTCCCAGCCGGGGTCTGCAGAGGACACAGCCATGAGAGCAGCTGGAGGGGGGAGGGAAGTGGATGTGGGGAGAGGAGCAGGGCCCTGGGATGTCCTGGATGAGCAGACATGGGAGGGTAAGAGGGGGACACATTCTGGGGTTGAAGGGCAGTTGAGTGGGTGGGTCCAGGACGCGTGTAGAGTGTCTTCCTCCTCCCTCTCAGCCCAGGCAGTGCCCTCCTCCCCATCCAGCCTCTTGGAAGGGGTTTACCTCTGTTAAAAGGAAAGAGATGGCTGCGAAGGCAAACGACCACCCGTACTTGTAGTTGAAATAGGTCTCTGCGTCCTTGGTCCTGTTGAGCATCTCGTCGTTGATGCTGGAGATGTAGAGCACCAGGCCCACCACGAGAGAGAGGCCTGGGGAAGGGCAAGGGGTGCTCAGCGAAGAGGCCCGGACACCCACCTCCCCTTGGGGTTCAGGAAGAAAGCTGCCGGCCTTGTGGTAACAATGCTCTCCTCCTGAAGTCCCTGTTTAGACCATTACCTTCTAGAAAGCCATAGTTGCAGGTAACTGTCCTCCACCTCCTGAGCGATGGTGGGCCCGATGATTCTCACCCCCCCTGCCCACTAGAATCTCCTGTCAGACACACATGCCTGAGCCGCAGCCGCGGACATTCTGAGTCACTTGACCTGGGCGGGGCTCCTGGCACTGTATTGTCTTAGAAGCTCCCGCTAGCAAGCGGCTTTTGCTAAACTGAGGAGTAAAATAGGCTCCCTGGGCAGAGACAGCCACGGCTCCCATCCCTGTCCCCAGCGGTGGGCGGTAACAACAAACCAAGCGGCCCATGGTCTGTGCAGCCCGCCTGACCACTGGGTGTGGCCTATTGAGATCTTTAGGCAGGAGACGTAAAGAGAATTTGTCCAGGTTCTGGCAAGCATTATATCAAGAGGCCAGTGGGACCCACACTCCTACTGCCACTGTGCAAATTGACCGCCTCAGGCAGCAGTCCCGTCCATTAGTGACTGTAATTGAATCAGGACATAATTAATTACTCTGTTTTGAGCTGTTCAGGTTTAATTCCATTCACATGACTAAACTGGGGCATCCTGAAGGAGGAACGTTAAAGGAAAATAAGTGTGATTCAAGCCGTCCTCAGCACTTAACTCGTATTTGAATCACTGCCGGCCCAATCTATTGTTATCACTAATCATGAATCTATTGTTATCATTAAAACAACTTCATGTGGCCCAGTTCAATCTGAGATTTCTGATCCTGTAGCCTACTGCTGAAAAACCTCAGGTGCCTCGAAGCTACTGTATAGCCTTGACTATTGTGAAGTTCACAGAAAAATAAACGAAGAGCTTAACCCTGGGTCTGTACCTTTTGGACTAGATGGCAGTATCACCATGCAGAGGGTGGGCTGAGGACATTGCAGGTGCTCAATAAATATTTGTTGGGTTGATGGATGGAAGGGTGGATGAATGGATTAATGGATGGAAGATGGGTGGGTGGGTGGACTGAAAAAATGATGGACAGATGAATGGGAGAAAGGATGGATGGATGGAAGGAGAAGGAAAGAAAAGCTCTTGGGCATCAGGCATTCTAACTGCCACTTGGCTCCCGAGCTATATTGACCAAAAAATGCTGGGAAAAGGAACTAAACTGGCTTGGGAGTCAGGCGGCAATCAGAATACCTGGTGTCCAAGAGCTATTTTTCCTCTCCTTTTTCTATCCATCCGTCCATCCAACCATCCATCCATCCATCCACCCACCCATCCATCCATCCATCCATCCATCCATCCATCCATCCATCCATCCATCCATCCATCCATTATGCAAGCCATCCACTTACCCACCTTCCATCTGAGCATCTCCTCACTAGCCCCTCCTTTATCAACAAGTCCAGGGCTCCAGGGCACCTAAAATACATGCCCTGAGAGTCACTCCTTTGGCCTGAGGAATTATCTCCAAAAAAAAACGGTCCTCATGAACAGGCACAGGTCACCTTGAAGGGGAGAAAGAACCTACCTTTATTCACCACATTCTCTTCCCTTCTCACTCTACACACTCCCCATGAGTAATCTCATCTGCATCCATGGTTCCCTCTCCTAGTCCCTAAGCTAATAGCTCCCAAATCTCTATCTTTGGTCCATGCCACTTTCATGAGCCCCAGACCCTGAGCTCTAGCAGCCTTCTGGAAACCTCCTCCCAGATGCTCAAACTCAGCATTGCCAACACTAACTCATGATCTCTGCCCCAAATCTGCCTCTTCTCCTGGGATCCCTAGATCAACGATGCAATGCGCCCAGTGCCCCAGAAGAACTTGGCACTCACCCTTGACTCCTCCCTTGAAAGGCTTGTCCTAGTCCCTTGAGTTTACCTCCCAAATGTCACTTGAATCCTCTCATTTCTCTCTTCTCTACTATCATCCCCTTGGTTTGGGCCACCATCCCCTCTCTCCTATGCTACTCAAATAGCCTCCCGCCTGGTCTCCCCGCCTCCTGTCCTGCTTCCCTCCCTCCCTCCACTCCCCAGAGGGGCATTCTAAAATCCTCAAATCTGATCACATCGTTCCTTAGCTTAAAATCCTTCTGAGGCTTCTCACGAGTCCAAAATCCATAAAGTGACCTCAGACGCCTCCTCGTCTCTCCTCCCAATGCATCCCTCCTTACACTCCTGCCATAATGAGTAATGATGATGTGTAGTCTCCCCAGTGCTTTATCCTCTTTCTTTCCTCCAGGATCCCTTTCCACCCCCACCCCAACCACACTTCTTTCCCTCACTCCTGCTCACCCTTCAGCTCGCCTTCTCCTGGGAGTCTCCCCTGACCGACTCTTGGTCTGAGCTTCAACCACTGCTCTTGGCCCCCAGAGCAGCCTTGCTGACGGCTCTCACAGCCCTTTCCAAGCTGTCTTCACATTTCTTGTATGTGTGTTTATATCTGCCATTACACTGACCTCGTTGTGGGCCGTGACGCCAGCACCCAGAATAAGGCTTGGTAGATATCATGAATGAATGAATGAACAAATGAACAAATGAAAGAAAGAATGACGAAGCACAACCTGGTGTCAGTCCAGGAAGGCAGGTCCATGTTGAAGGGACCTGGGAGGGCCCAGGGTATGGGGTGTGACTGGAAAGTGAAAGGGACAGTAGGAGTCTCCTGAGGATAGCTGAGGGCTGGGAAGCGGAGGGGCCGTTATTCCAAAGGCAGACTGTGTTTATCTTTCATGAAAAAACACGAAGACATAGCCTTTTCAAAAACAGGAATACTCACTATCAGTGAGAACTAAAAAGTAAGTGGTGGTGACAGCAGCGAGTAAGGAAAGAACCGCAGGTTCTAATCCCAGCTCTGCCCCAGCATGAGCCTGTCAGGTCTCTCCTCCTCCAGAGGTAGCGGATAGGCCTGAGGTCATCAGAAGTGTCCTCCAGCTCTGACTCAGTTCTGCCCAGGGCACTGCCTCAGCTGTTCCGGTGCCAGGGGTGGACCCACCACCGTGACCAGGACTCCCCAGAGCAGAGCTGTGTAGCAGTCAAATATCAAAAGTCCAGAGTGTGTGAAAGAAAACAACATCACCTACCTGAGAGGATGAAAAAGATGCCAGAGACAAAGGCCAGGATCGTCCTGTGGGGACGGATGTGTCCGATGTTGCTCAGGATAAACCCAATGAACATGAAGAAGAGGCTGACCAGAGGGAACGGGGTGGCCGAGCGAATCATTTCTAATTGAGGGGACAAAAGGATGCTGTCAGCCCCCAGTGGCCTCACTCACTGCTCACTCTCCCGAGGCAAGTGTTCCTGACAGCATCTACCAGCTGGTCCGCAAAGCCCCCACCCTGCAGGAGCTCCCTGGGCTCCATGCCTTCACTGGGGGGCCTGGGACCTCCCGGTGCTGGCAGGGTTCTTGTCCCTTAGCCCTTAGCCTGTGCATCTGTGCTAACTCGGGGTGACTAGTGTCAGAACTGTGTTGCAAGTTCACTCTGGGGGTCAGAACCAGCTCTGCTGAGGCTGAGGCCATGAAGTCATTCTCACTGGGAGCTTGGTTCAGTTCCTCGGGTGCTATGGTCTGAAGAATTCATATGTTGGAACCTGCTGCCCAATGTGATGGTATCAGGAGGTGGGGCCTTTGGGAGGTGATGAGGTCATGAGGCTGGAGCCCTCATGCACGGGATCAGTGCCCTTATAAAAGAGACCCCCCATGGCTCCCTCACCCCTCCACCATGTGAGGACTCAGCAAGAAGGCACCAGCCATGAACCAGGAAGAGGGCTCTCACTAGAACGTGACCATGCTGGCACCTTGATCTTGGACTTCTAGTCTCCAGAACCGAGAGCAATAAGTTTCTGTTGTTTATAAGCTGCCCGGTCTGTGGTATTTTGTTACAGCAGCCCGAACAGACTAAGACGCTGGGTATGGATGCCCTCTCACTCGCTTGGGTCACAAGACTGGGAGACTCCAGCAACCTGTCACCACCACTGGATAAATAATTGGCAGAGAAAGCTCTGGTGAGCTCAGGCCAGCACAACCAGCCGAGTCCAAAAGCATTAGCTCTTGAGAAAGAAGCTAGTCACCCTGACTCTTCCCTCTGCCCCACTCTGCTCTGCCCAGCAGTGGCCTGGTTGGAAAGTCCAAGGCACCTACTTAGAACGTTGACTGTGGACTCGGACGTCAGCTGGCTGTTCATAGGCATCACGTATTCGATGGTGAAGCAGCGTCCTCGCTCCTCACCTACGAGGATAAGAATCACTTACACTTCCAGGTCCTTCCTGAACATGGATTTGAAGTTAGTATATTCAAACGGTATTTCCAAATGCTAGTAGGATCTTTGACTGCTGGATCCAAACCCTAGGGGTTCCCGTTCCTAGGTGGTGGCCCATAGCAAGGGGTGGGGGGAGCACATCCTGACACCACATCTTTCTTGGAGACGCACCGTTGTGAGGATGGATCCAACCACCAAGAGTCACATGAAAAGCGATCAACACTGCAAACTCAAGGTTGAGCAAAATGTCTGGTGGCCGTCTCATTGCTTTGGGACAGACTGAGGTGATGACGGCGCACGGCTGGCTTATATTCCCCAGTGTGGGTGTCATGGAGCAGAACCCCAAAAACCTTGTCAACCACTTGGGAAGCCAGATCCTAGCGACTTCAAACTCTGCTTCAGATTTAAGTGGAGACCGATACCACACTGTCTAGGGCAGTGGGAGGAGAGGTCAGGGTCGGATGCCATTCCCAAAGCAGACGCAACAAGTCACCAGGCCTTGAGGTGTCCTCCCTGCTCAACAGGGGTGGGCGCCAACCGTCACTCCCAACCCCCAAAACTGGGAGGACCAAGTGCTCCGTCTGCCCAGTGCACATGTAGGTTACAGGGCCTCCAGGAAGAGCTCAGTGCCCACACTGTGGCGATTCCGGCCAGCCCAGGCTTGCGGCCAGTCTCGCAGGACACGGAGATGCTCTTCTGGGCCGTGATAAAGGGATAAAGGACAGAGCGCTTGGAGTAACAACTCATAGGCTCCAGGGAGGCCCACATAAGCAGGATCAAAGCCTGCGCCATCTAGAAGAGTCGGAAGGACCTGCATCTGTGTTTTCTCTCTGCCGTATCATGGACCAGGAGCAGAGAAACTGCTAAGTATTTCCCATCCTGTAAACTAGTGGAGACAAGTGACGTGGAGTCAAGGAGATGTATTTCACCTCCTTGAATCTTCACTTCCTCATTTGTAGAGTGCAAATAATAACAAGTCTTGCCTGGCATCAATAATTCAGTGAGCTAAGGCATGCGAGGACATGTTCAGACCAGTGCGCTGTCAGCTCGTTCAGCCTGGGAGGTGGAGAGTGGGGAAGGTATGGTTACATTCATCCCTCAGGGGGAGACCCAGGTCCCGGGAGATGGGAGGACTTGCTCAAATGGACACCGCGAGTCAGGGCTTGAGTTTGGACCGGGTCCTGGCTGCTGCAGGGAGCACCACCCAGACTTCATGAGGATTGTCGTGGTGAACCGCCTCCTTCCAGCAGTGGCCTCTCTTCCCAACGGGGCGCCTCTTGGGCAGGTTTTCCCTGGGGGAGGGGCTGCTCCTCTCTCAGGAGCAGGGCTGTCCCCAACCCAGGCGCCCTTACCTGCGAGAAAGCAGACACGCCACAGGCCCGAGTGCAGGGACATCTTGATCTCCATGCTCTGGTTCTGGGGCAGGACCACGCCCTCCTCCAGGTACAGCCAGTAGTCGGTGCTGACAGCGATACCCAGGAGGCCCAGGCCGCAGACGGCAAAGACGCTGCTTAGCAGGGTCAGGGCCTTCCTCCCGCAGGTACTCATCTTCCTAGATGTCAGTGGGCGGCCAGCAGCGCCGTCCCACCAGCAGGCAGTGGGCTCTGGGGGCAGGAGAGAGAGTGAGCAGCCAGTAGCAGCCACAGCTTCAAGGAGGACAAAATGAGAGGCCCTGGGCAGTAACCCAGCTAAATGCATGAATGAAGACCAACAGGCCAGCTCCCTGGATGCTAAGTCACCGTGACAGAGATGCCACCCTCTCCCTTTGCCCTCTCAGGAATTCAGTTTTCTTGACAGGCCACTGCAAGGGGCTCCCCCTCCCTCTCTGGCCATTCATTCATTAATTCAGCAACCCCTTGTGCTGACATGGGAGACAACATGAACACAACACTCTCCTTGCCCTTGAAGAGTCCCTGTCTAGAAGCACAAAGGCACCCTCAAAATAATTAAAATGCAGCTTGAGATCTACCCAAGAGCTCGGGGAGCAAGGAGGAGGCATGGAGGTGTGAACTCTGCGGGGGTGGACTTCTCTGTGTTGAGAAGGACTTAGGATCAAGTGCACCCTGGCAGATCCAGTGGCAGAGAGCAGCAGGATCCAGAAGGGGAAGCAGCCTCGGGAAGAGGCAGAGGGGCAGAGAAGACTCCTTGGGAAGGTGTCTTCCAGTTGTAGTTCTGGATCAACCTAAGTAAAGAAGCCCCATCACAGTCCAAGTCCAACAGGTCTTTGAAACCACCTAATCAGAAACTGTCTCCTCTTGCTTGCTCAGCACGGGATATTGGCAGGAGCCAGCCCTGAACCAGGGGAAGAGAGAGGCCAAGAGTCTACACAAGGTGAGCCACGGGCACACCTACTGATAGCTGCCAGGGCCGGGCACTGGGCTCAGAGCTGGGAAAAGGTGAGGAGCAAGGCAGACGGATGCCAGCCCCCACAGAGCCCACAGCCCAGCTCAGGGCTCCTGAACCCTCGCTGCAATCTGGAGGGAGCGGCTCCAGCCAGGGAGCAGTTAAAAATCCCTAATGCCTGGGTGCCACTCCGAGAGACTCTGGTGCAGCTGGGCTCATAGGGGGGCAATGGTATCTTAAATGCTCCCCGTGATTATAACGTGCAACCCAGGTTGAGAACAATTGATCTTTGCTAATCAAAGTGTGATCCATGGACCAGCAGCATCGGCATCACCCGGGGACTTGTTAGAAATGCAGAATCTCAGGCCCCTCCAACTTCCTAAATCAGAATCTGCATTTTAACAAGATCCAGGTGAGATATACACCTGCTAAAGTCTGAGAAGCACTGTGCCAAGCAGACAGGTGACTGCACGACAGTGTCGTAACTGCCATGATGGGGAAAATCCAGGATGTGATGAGAGCCCAGAAGAGGGTCACCAAGTGGGGCTGGAGGGGGCAGCAGAGCCATTTCTAGAAGAGGGTGGGGCCTGGGGCAACTCAAACAGTGTGTCTCGCCTAAGCCACTCACGCTTGCAACACCACCAGGCTGTCCGCCTCTCTCATGGGCCTCTTGCTATAATGCCAAGTCAGAAATTTTGAAAGAGGATGTTAATGCTCAGGAAAGTCAGGTGCCACAGCACCTGTGATGGGGAGGTGCAGCCACCAAGCTTGGAGCCCTGGAGGTGACCCAGGGGTCCTACCCCAGGCATGGCATCATCTCTCACCTAAGACACAGCTGTATCCCGGCTGAGCCAGCCGAAAAGGGACAGAAGCCACACTCAAGCCGGGAGGCTTGATTCATCTGTGGAGTCTGAGCTCGCTGCAGGAGGGGAGAAGGGACAAGAGGAGGACAATGGGTGCTCTTTGCAAGAAGGGTGGGGCATCCCAGCCCTGATTCCACAGCACTGGCCCTGCCCTATCAGCTGACCATGGCAGAGTTTGATCTATAGAACAAGCCCCACGCTGGCTTCCTGGAGGAGCGTGTGAGTGCATGGAAGCAAAGGCACCAGTCCGCTAGGTCGCAGAGCACAGGGGTTTAATCCAAGCCAATCCTTCCTGTGTTGGCTTTGACAAAGAAGGGAAAAATGAAATGCAAAACAGCCAGCCCTCCCCACCAAGCCACATCATTCTCTACGCAGTGGAGGGGGAGGCGGAGTGTGATGGCTTAGCTCCTGATCGGATTACAAGTAACCAATAAAGGACCTACTATGTGTGGAGTCCTGGGCTCACTGCCGCAGAAGAGGCAGAGGAATCAGAGGCACTGTTGCTTGCAGAGTTCACCAGCTGGAAAAATATGAAACAGCAGCATCATGACTATAACACACGGATGGGGCAGTGTCATAACAGATGGAACCTGGGGCCCCAGGAGGAGGTGGCTGGCAGGGCAGGCTGCCTGGAGGAGCCCTAGGGAGATGGCTACATGGATCGGTGGGATGGGCGTGATGTGGACAATGATAATTAAGATTTTATAGCGGTTTACTAAGTACTTTCACTTAAATTTGAGGTTTGCAAACCGCCAACATCTGCCAGAGGGAATGGAATTAGAACCCTGAGGATGGTTGGGGGGGTCAGGGAATGAGAGGAGAACAAAGAGATAAGATGCCCCAATGAGTAACAGCCCCATATGCTGCAAAGAGCCTTGAACTGAGAGGCAGGAAACCTAGACTTTATGCTCAGCTCTGTCACTAAAGCTGTGTCATGTCGAACCACTAAGCTTTCTGAGGCCCGTTATTCTTCCAGGTAACATGGAGGAAGAGAATAATGATAAAAGCTAAAGCACATTAAATGTTTATCATTGTCGGGCATGCTGCTAAGCACTTTACTCTCTATTTTTAATCCTTACAACTCTATTACCATCCCCATTTTACAGGTGAGCAAATCAAGGATCAGAGAGGTTAAGAAATTTGCCCAAGATCACTCAGCTAGCAAGTGGTGGTGCCTGCATTTGAACCTTACCCTGCCTCATTCTCAAGACCTTTCTTGTGCCAAATAGTGGCACAAAAACAGTGTTTTCCAAAGTGGGTTCCATGGAGCAATACTTCCATGGAATATTCTAGCAAAAAGGACTCTGGTGAAAAAAAGCTTGGGAAGCACTGCATCGAGGTCTTGAAGAATTACATTGCACATGAATATGTGAAAAGCCTGTTTGGCTTCTGTCATTCTAGCATTTTGCAAACTTATCTGTCCACAAAATGGCGTCCTGTTCTGTGAAATCCACTTTGGGAACGATGCTGCCCCCAGGAAGAATTACAAGACCTGCCCTGCCTACTGCACAGAACTGCTGGGAGATTAAATGCAATAGCAGGGGCCAGCCCGGTGACATAGGGGTTAAGTTTGCGTGTTCTGCTTCGCTGGTCCAGGATTCGCAGGTTCGGATCCTGGGCGCGGACCTACTCACTGCTCATCAAGCCATGCTGAGGCGGCATCCTACATAGAAGAACTAGAAGGACCAACAACTAGGATATACAACTATGTGCTGGGGCTTTGGGGAGAAAAAAGAAAAAAGAGGAAGATTGGCAACAGATGTTAGCTCAGGGCCACTCTTCCTCAAAAAAAAAAAAAAAACCGCAACAGCAGATACGACAGCGCTTTGAAAAATATGAAGCACGATCCTGATGTAAGGAATTATGATTAAGCAACAATGGGCTACATAAGCCCCTTTTACTGCAGAGCAGATGGATCAGGGCTTCTGAAACACGACGGTTCATGCCTGGCCGGAGCTGAACGGCCAATTTCAATGGTAAGCTTAGCAGAGAAACAAAAAAGATTCGGATCTTGGAGGTTTGGAAAGATGAAATGGGGAGGAGATTGGATCTGAATCTATAAAAGCAAGAAATAAAAGAAGAGGCTTAAATTGACCTGGCCTGCCAACTGTACAACAGCAGAGGCTGAAGGCTGGAGTAAGCTGGGGAAAACTGAAAAGTCCCCTTCCGGAGTACGTAACAAATTTATGGAACTCTGCACAGAGAGAAAAATAACAATCTTCTTCATTACGTAATTGTAGGTATGCTTCTGTTATGAAATCATCCTTATTTATAAATAAATAATATTGACTGAGCACTGAAAAGCCCTTTATGTACAGCGTCTCATCAGGACCTCACAACAACCCCTTAAGTGGGTAGTATTAGCTGCATTTTGTGGATGGGGAAACTAAGGCTCAGAGATGTTAAGTAGCCCATAGGATGTCACAGATGGGTGACAGACTGTGGCTTTAAACCTAGGTCTAATTCCAAAGTCCATGCTCCTGCTACACCATCTCCCTACTGAAGAAATAAACAGGTTCAAGAAGTCTTGAGGTAAAGAGGTACATGCAAAGTAGGTCACTAGGGAACCTAGAAATGCATATGACACAATATTTTGGGAGGTTGCCTTTGTAAATGGCCAGGTGTTACATCAGTGCTGTTTCTTGATCCTCTTGGGCTGACTATCAGGAGTCACCTGCATATTTTCTCATATCAGTTTTGTGGAGGTGCACCCTGACTCAGCATTTCTAATTCTGACAACCACCTTTTAGCAGGAAGACTAATATCTCCCTCAAACCACATATAAGGAAATCAAGGTCCAAAGGGGAGACTGACCTGAGATAAGCCAGCCAGTTCCATGGACCGACAAGAGTGTGAAGTGGAAATCTTTTGATGCTGATCCAATGCTTTTTTCTCTGTACTGCATGGAAAATTATAAGGCAGAAGATGGAAATTACCTGTATTTTCCCACTCTGAAAACAACACCATTATTAACATCTTAGTTCGCTGCCTCCCAGTCTTATTTCCTATGTACCTGTGCATGTGGGTGTACACCTTCTCCCACCCAGCGTCTTCAGTTGGTGGGGCAGGGACGGCAGTCCCCTTGAAGACACACTGATCGGGAATGAATTCCTGGTTCCCACATAATTAGGCCCTCGTCCAAGTCTTTGCTTCTAAATGGCTGCTGCTTCTTTCCATAAATCCCTTCCCTCATCTACAATGTTCATTTGACTTTTCTGATGGGGGAGGTAGACATTTCTATAAGTTGCTACCACCAGAGAAGGTGTTTACGCTAACATATTAAATGAATAAAGCTGGATGTAAAACCACATGTTTATTTAACATGAACTCAACTGTGAAAAAAATTCATAGACTGGAAGAAATAAACCAAAATGTGGACGGTGGGTGCTTCCAGGTAAAAAGGTTATGTATATTTTATTTCCTTTATACTTGTCTG